CTCTCTCTCTCTCTCTCTCTCTCTCTCTCTCTCTCTCTCTCTCTAATGGGGAGAGGGGTTTAAACATTAGTGATAAGGTAGCCTTTTAATGATTATAGCTCCCAGCACAAGTTGAGGGGTTGGGGGTTGGAGTCAGGAAAACCTTTCAAAATCTCCATGTTTAATTTTCTGGCGGTTCCTGCATCCTGTTGCCAGGATTCCAAATGCTTGGAGTCATTTAGAGGTGTGAGAACTCAAACGTCGTTCCACTTGGAAAGGGGACCAGTGAACGTTAAATTCCATTAGCACCTAAACTGTTTTTTAAAAGACAACCGCTCAGACACAGGGCATTTCATGCAAATAAATTTCTCAAATTTTAAACCTTGTTAAAAGCTTGTCTCGCACCTCGGCTCCCTCCCTTCCCAAAAGAGAACAATAGGCCTCTGGCTCATCCCCACTTCGGAGTAAATATTGACGAGGGAAGTTGCTAAAACATTTGGCTTTCTTTTAGGAAATCGTCTTTTGAGATTTTGGCTGAGACCCGGTCGTAGATGAATAATCTATGAGGCGGGAGGCGCGTTTTTTTGCGTCTCTCTTCTCACGCTATCGCCCTGCGGGGCGGTACTGCCTGGGGCTCTTGCTGGCCCAGGCGAGGGTCGAAGTTGGGAGTCGCAAACCCTCTGGTGCCCATTAGAGAATTTCACAAACTGCTGACAAACCACCGTCAGTCCCCTGCGACCCACCCCGAGATGGGCTTTAAAAACACTTTTTAAGTGAGAACCGCTTTACAGCTTCGGCTCACACCAGATTCATTTAATGGGAAACAGTCCCGAGAAGGGCGTTTGGACCCTGAGTAAAAGAAATGGGAAAACACACAAGCCTCTGAAAAACAGATAATCCACTCAGGGCATAAAAGCTCATTCAGACAAGATGACAAAATCCTTGCTAGGCTTGTTTCCCGGACATCTAGTTAGAGCAGAATTGTTTTATTTTGTGCGCTCTATTTAGAATGGAAATTATTCACCAGGGCTGGGGGGGAGGGGGATCGCTTCACTCCAAGTATATATTTGGTATTACACTGATCATTTAAAGTTCAATTTCCGCACATGGAAAAATCCCAGCCCAATACAATAATACTCTGCCATCCTCCAACAAAAACAAGCCGCTGCCTGTCCTGCACTCTCCCAGGTCTCTGGCTGGTGGTTAGCCCCCAGCGCTCCCGAACACGCGAACACACACACACACACACACACACACACATACACACACAAGCGCGCGCGCTCAGCCCGTGCGTTTCTCTTCGAGGTGCGGTTTCCCACTCCGGACCCACGATTACCTGTGTGGGTCCTTTTGTGGATCTTGAGGTTCTCGGAGCGCGCGAAGACCTTGCCGCAGCCCGGGAAAGGACAGGGAAAGGGCTTCTCGCCGGTGTGCACGCGGATGTGGTTGACCAGTTTGTATTTGGCCTTGAAGGGCTTGCCCTCGCGTGGACACTCCTCCCAGAAGCAGACGTGGTTGCTCTGCTCCGGGCCGCCGACGTGCTCCACGGAGACGTGGGTCACCAGCTCATGCATGGTGCTGAAAGTTTTGTTGCAGCTTTTCTTGGGATTGCTTAGCTGCTCGGGATCGATCCACTTGCAGATGAGCTCCTGCTTGATGCACTGCTGCCGCATGTAGCGGAAAAAGGCACCAGGGTGGTGGTGATGGTGGTGGTGGTGGGCTGCGGCCGCTGCCATGTTCATCCCCATGTTCATATTCATGGGGCCGTACTGATTGTGGAGTTGCGCCGCCGAGTAGGGGTCGGTCCGCGGGCTGGCCACTTGGCGGTACTGCTCCGAGCGCCCGAACACTTCGCCGGGCAGCCCAAGGCGCATTTGCCCGTTGAGCACGTTCTGCGAGCCGTGCGGCCCGTGCTGCTCCGGGAGGCCCGGGAAGAGGAGGTGGCCCTGCGCGTCCGAGTGCGCGTGGTGCAGGCCGCCCGCGCCCGGCCCGAAGAGCCCATGCTGGCCGCCTCCCGGCGCCGAGTCCCCGAAGCCGCGGCTGCGGAACAGGAAGTCCCGGGTGGAATTAAAGGGAGGCCCGGAATAGGAGCCAACGTGCGCGGCGTGGGGCCCCAGTGCCGCGGCCGCAGCGGCAGCTGCAGCCGAGCCCGGGTATGCACCCGGACCTTGCGACGTGAACGCCGAACTCTGACCAGGAGACAGTTCGTGCGCTCCAGGGTTGAGCTTGAAGGCGCCCATGTGCGCCGCGGCTGAGTCCACGAAGCCGTTCTGAGCCGCCGCCAGGCTCAGCTCGCGGTCCTGCATCTCCGCAGCCGCCGCCGCCGCCGCCGCGGCCGAGTGATGGTGGTGGCGCGCGAAGCTGCCCACCCCGATGGCCGGGAACTGCGGCCCCGCGTCCAGAAGCATGGCCAGCGCGCCCGGCCGACCTATCGGCCCCGGTGAGCCCTGCCGCCTCGGTTCCCTCTCCCGATCGGCAAGGCGCGTCCTCCGAACGCCCAGCTCCGTGAGCCGGCGCTGGAAACGCTGGCGACTGCGGCCCTGGGAGCCGCGCTGCTAGCCCGCCGCCGCCGCCGCCGCCGCCGCCTGGA